AAAAGAAATCATCAAGAGAGCAGGGAGACAGCCCACAGAATGGAAAAAAAAATATTTGTCAACTGTATATCTGACAAACACCCAGAATCTACAAGGAACTCAAACATGCTGAAAGGAAAAAAAACAAACATCTGCATTAAAAAGTGGAGGCTTGGTAGCTCATCTTGTAATCCCAGTACTTTGGGAGGCCAAGATGAGTGGATTGCCTGAGCCCATGGGTTTGAGATCAGCCCAGGCAACTTGGCGAGACCTCATTTCTACAATAAATAAAAAATTAGCTGGGTGTGGTAGTGCACACCTGTAGTTCTGGCTACTTGGAAGACTGAGGTGGAAGGATTGCTTGAGCCCAGCAGGTTGACAGTGGGGTGGCCGTGAGTGTACCACTGCACTGGAGCCTGGGTGATGGAGTGAGACTCCAACTCAAAAAAAAAAAAAAAAAAAAGTGGGCAAAAGACTTGAATAGACACTTCTCAACAGAAGATATACGGGTAACGAACAGACACATGAAAAAGTGCTCAGTCTCACTAATCATCAGAGAAATGCAAATCAAAACCACATTGAGATACCACCTAACCTCAGTAAGAATGGCCATCATTAATAAAACAAACAGGCCAGGTGCAGTGACTCAAGATGCAATTCCAGCACTTTGGGAGGCCAAGATGAGGGGATTGCCTGAGCCCACGGGTTCGAGACCAGTCTGGACAACTGGGCAGGACATCATCTCTGCAATAATTCAAAAAAATTAGCTGGGCATGGTAGTGCACACCTCTACTTCTGGCTACTTGGAAGTTTGAGGTGGAAGGATTGCCTCAGCCCAGCAGGTCGACACTGGGGTGGCCGTGAGCGTGCCACTGCACTCCAGCCTGGGTGACAGAGTGAGACTTCAACTCAAAAATAAATAAATAAAGAATAAAACAAACAACAACAGATGCTGTCGAGGATGTGGAGAAAAAGGAGTGCTTCTACTATACTCCTAGTGGGAATGCAAACAAGTGCAACCTTTTTGAAAAATAGTGTGGCGATTTCTAAAAGAACTAGGCATTGACCCTCCACGTGACCCAACAATCCCCCCACTGGGAATATACCCAGGGGAACTCAAATCATTCTACAAAAGAGATACCTGCACATGCATGTTTATTGCAGCACTCTTCACAATAGTGAAAACATGGAATCAACTGTGCTGCCCCTTGAAACTTACTGGATTAAAAAAATGTATATATACACAATAGAATATCACGCAGCCACAAAGAAGGACAAACATATGAACTTCGCAGCAACTTGGCTAGATTTAGAGTCAATCAAACTCAGTGATCTACCACAGAAACAAAGAACAGAGTACCACATGTTCTCATTCATAAGCAGATCCTGAACATGTATCATGATACTGCAAGAAAGGATTTGGCAGTAGTGGGATACTGCTGGGGTGGGTGGAGGGAGATGGCACAACATCAATGAGGGTACTTGATCTCAAAGCAGGTGGAGTGGGGACCAAAGGGAGGCCCAAACTTTACCTGTGTGATGACCACTTGTATACCTAATCCTGAATTGTGCCTCAAGTTTTTTAAATAAATAAACAAATAAAAAGTAAGGTGTTCTGATCTTGAGTGCATATATATTTACAATTGTTATATCCTCTTGAGGAATTGATTCCTTTATCATTATATAATGATTTTTTAATAATGACTTTCTTTGACTCTTCTTAGTTTTATACTTTAAGCATATATATATGAGAGAGAGAGAGAGAGAGAGGGAGAGATAGGGTCTCATTTTGTCACCCAGGCTAGAGGGCAGTGGCATGATCATAGCTCACTGTAAGCTTGAACTTCTGGACTCAAAAGTTCCTTCTGCTTCAACCTCCCAAGTAACTAGGGATACAGGCATGAATCACCATGCCTGGCTAACTTTTTTATTTTTATTTTTTGTAGTTACATGATCTCACTATGTTATCCAGGCTGGTCCAAACTCCTGGCCAATATGAACTCCCAAAGTATTGAAATCACAGCAATAAGCCACCATGCCCAGCTTGACTTTAAGTATATTTTGTCTGACATAAGTTACCCTTGTTCTCTTTTGGATCCCAGCATGAGATAGCTTTTTCCATCCCTTCACTTTCAACTTATGTATGTCCTTAAAGCTGAAGTGAGTTTCTTGTAGGCCGCATATTGTTGGGTCTTATTTTTAATCCATTTATCCATTGTATGACTTCTGATTGAAGACTTTAATCCATTACCTTTTAAGTAATTATCGATGGGTAAGTACATACTACTGCCATTTTATTAATTGTTTTCTCACTGTTTTGTGCTTCTTTTGTTTCTTTCTTCCTCTCTTGTTGTCTTCCTTTGAGATTTGATCATTTTTTTGGTAGTCATATGCTTTGATTCTTTTCTCTTTATATCTTAGGTATCTATTTTAGGTTTTTGTTTTGTGGTTACCATGAAACTTACAAAAAACTTCTATAGTTATAACAATCTATTTTAAACTGACAGCAACTTAACTTCAATCACATATTTTAAAAAGCTATACTTCTTGATCAAGGAAGGGGCATGCTAAAACAAAAATGAAAAACTCTATACTTTTACTCCCTCCCCCAACATTTTATGTGTTTGATGTCACAATTTACTTCTTTTTATATGTTGTGAATCCCTTAACAAAATGTTATAGCTATAGTTATTTTTAAAATACTTTTCTTTTTTAACCTTTACAGATTTAGAATATTCTGAATTTGACGATAAAAATTCAGAATATATTTATTAAAAAATTGTGTATTTATTCTTACATAATGTTTAAACTTCAGTCACCTTCAAGGTACTCTCTGTTTGCTGCAATACACAAATAGAAATAATTTTTCCACCACTCGAAACAGTTTTTGAACTCATCAATTTTGATTCCTTTTTAGTGCTTTTGCCATTTTGTTTCACCTCTTTCATATCAGCAAAACGTTTTCCTTTGAGGACTTTTGTCATTCAGGAAAACAAAAAAATGTCACTGGGGCAAGATCGGGTGAATAGTGAGAATGGGGCATGGGGAACCATGCCATTTTTGTCAAAAACTGCTGAACACTCAGCACGGTGTGGGCAGGTGTGTTCGTAGATCACCTATCATGAAATGAGGAAATGTGTTTAAAGAATCTTAAAAAAAAAAAAAAATTCACCAAAACTGAACACAGACTCCCACAACACTAGCTGGGACACTGTTGCCAATGGGTTCCTAGAACATTTACCTAGAAGGGGAAGCCTGTAATACCAGGGACCCACCCTCCAAAAGATAACTCTGGGGTTTTTTGGGCTCTTCTCTCGTGTTTGTCTCTATTCAACATAGCATCTTATTCTCCGTTTTTTATTTCAATAGCCAAATTGTATAATGTGACATTTTTTTGGTAAAATATTTTAACTTTCTGATAGAACATAGCCATTAAAAAGTTATGGTTGGCTGGGCACAGTGGCTCACATCTATAATCCTAATGCTTTGAGAGGCTGAGGTGAGAGAATCACTTAAGGTCTGAAGTTTGAGTCCAGGCTGGGCAACATAACAAGATCTCATCTTTGCAACATTAAAAAGATAAAGTTAACTAGGCATGATGGCCTGTATCTGCAGTCCCAGCTACTCAGAAGGCTGCGGCAGGAGGATCATTTGAGCCCAGAATTTTAAGGCTGCAATAAATTGTGATCAAGCCACTGCACTCCAGCCTGGGGTGACAGAGTGAAACACTGTCTCTCAATATAAAATTAAAAACAAAAACAAACTAGGAGACATTGTGCCTTTCAATTGGTATGGTATTAATAAATGCTTTATGTTTTTTCATTGAAAATTTGCAGACATTTGCTGATAAAATATGAACTTCCAAATTAAAATATAAGTAGTTATTTTCTTACTGGAGGTTAGCACTTGTGAAAAAATAGATAGTTATTTCAGAGTCATGAACACTTGGTCTTTGAATAGTCATGTCTTTAACTAAAATTCATGTTTTATAATTAGAACATCTAGATCCCAAATCTGGCATTGGTCCTATATATAACCCATTTAAAATGCAATATTAGATGTTTATGACACTTGAAGGAAATTTAGCTAACAAAATAAGATGATATGATAAAACTGTGGTTGTATAATCTTCCTTCCTTCAAATGTTATTAACATATTCATTACAGTTAACAGTATGCCATTCTTTGTTAAACACTGTAGAAACTGGCTTATTAAATATTCTATATTTTGCTTTCCAAGTCTAAAGACATTCATAGTAAGCACATGTTGCATTAAATGACTCTTATTTAAAATGAGTTTGCTTAGCTTTTGAAATAATGAAATGTCTCATGCTTTGGATGAAAGCTTTCTCTGTCTTCCAAATTTTCCTTAGAAGGAGCCATTTTTAAATAGAAGCATTTTCTAACTACAGACCTATTTTCTCCAGCTTTATTTACAGCAGTCTGTTTTTATGATTATTTTGTGAGGCCAGAGGTTTAAACACTTTTAGTTTAGTTTGTTTTAATTTGCGGGCACAAGCTCACCTTTCACAGGGCAGGACAACTTCCTAATGATTGATGCAGAGCTGTTTCCTAAGCCTTAATTTTTTTTTTTTTTACTAATTGCAGTGCAGTGGTTTGCTTGTGAACCCAGCTTACTGAACTTGAGGGAAAATTGTATTTTTAAAAATGAGTTGGTCTTGCTGGGTGTGGTGGCTCAAGTCTGAAATCCCAGTACTTTGGGAGGCCAAGGCAGCGGATTGCTTGAGCACAGGAGTTAAGACCAGTCTGGACAACCTAATGAGACCTCGTCTCTACAAAAAGTTTAAAAAAAATTAGTCTAGCTTGATGGCGTGTGCCTGTAGTCCCAGCTCCTTGCGATGCCGAAGTGGAAGGATTGCCTGAGCCCAGGTGATAGAGGCTGTGGGGAGCCAGGATCATGCCACTGCACTCCAGCCTGGGTGACAGCCTGAGACCCCGATTCTAAATAAATAAATAAATAACTTTGCAAACACCACCACCTTGAGCCTTTTCCCATCAGCCATGGTCAACACCACCATGTTCTTTGACATCACCGTTGACGGCAAGCCCTTGGGCCGCGTCTCCTTTGAGCTGTTTGTAGACAAAGTTCCAAAGACAGCAGAAAACTTTTGTTCTCTGAGTGCTGGAGAGAAAGGATTTGGTTATAAGGGTTCTTGCTTTCACAGAATTATTGCAGGGTTTATGTGCCAGGGTGGTGACTTTCCACGCCATAATGGCACTGGCAGCCCATCTTTGGGGAGAAATTTGATGATGAGAACTTCATCTTGAAGCATACAGCTTCTGGCATCTTGTCCATGGCAAATGCTGGATCCAGCACAAAGGGTTTCCAGTTTTTCATCTGCACTGCTAAGACTGAATGGTTGGATGGCAAGCATGTGGTTTTTGGCAAGGTGAAAAAGGGAATGAATGTTGTGCAAGCCATGGAGGGCTTTGGCTCCAAGAATGGCAAGACCAGCAAGAAGATCACCATTGCTGACTGTGGACAACTCTAATAAGTTTGACTTGTTTTATCTTAAGCTACCAGATCACTCCTTCTGTAGCTCAGGAGAGCACCCCCTCCATCTCATTTGCTGGCAATATTCCTATAACCTTTGTACTCTCGCTACAATTCTTTGGGTTCCATATTTTCCTTATTCCCTTCCACGTCTAGTTGGATTGCAGAGAAATAAAAACTAAATTAAAGAAAAAAGGATTGGTCAGTGTCAGCTTCCTCAGAACTTCTTTGGGCTTCATGTGATTGCCCTGTCACAGCAGTGAAATGATGTAAAAACTTGCCCTATGACATCAAGAACTCCTCTTGAAATTCCTTGGGAATCCTATGATGGCTCATTGGCTTAATGCAAAAGATGTCAGGGATATTCTTCTTTTCTCTTCATATTTGCTTATTCTAGTTTAACAGAAATATATGCAAAGACTTCAATTTTAGGCACAGATTGATAGTAATAGCTGGGAATTGGAAAAGCTCAGTAAAGAGCTCCTGAAATTAATATCACAATAGCAAGATGGAGAGCAATACAAAATCAGCAGAGAAATATTTGCATAAAAGGGAATTTATTAAGTAAATATCCACATGATTATTTTAAATTTTTGTTTGTTTGTTTGAGTTGGAACTTCATCGCCTAGGTTGGAGTGCAGGGGCTCACATTCACCCCAGAGTTGACCTGGTGGGCTCTGGTGATCCTTCTGCCTCAGCCTTCCCAGTAGCTGGAACTACAGGTGTGCGCTACCACTCCTGGCTAATTTTTTGTTTATTGTAGAGACAAGGTCTCGTCAAGTTACCTGTAGGCTCAGACAGTCCTCTAGCCTGGGCCTCCCAAAGTGCTGGGATTACGGACTGAGCCACCGAGCCCAGTCTTCTTTTAAAATTTTTAACAGAAGAATGAATACTCATTATTAGTGGAGAGGAGGCAGATTAAAGAACCCGCATCCTAACTCATCCTCCTCATTGGCTCCTTGACCTTCATTCATACTGGATTTGCAGTGTCCCAATCCTGGCACACTGTCTTCTAGACGAAACTTTTCACAAGCTATTTCTTTCTTTCCTTCTATTTTCTGTTTGAAAGAAAATAGACTTTATTGCCCAACCATTAAAAGAATTATTCAAATGTGTATTTTATACAATTTATTGTGGGGTTATCAACATCAAATAAAATATTCATTTTCACCGTTTGCTTCTGTTCATGTTTTCTTGAACAAGTCTTCATTTTTCCTTCCAAATGCTGCATGGCATACTTGAGGCAATAAAGTCTTTTTGTGTGTGTGTTGTAGTCTCACTCTGTCGCCCAGGCTAGAGTGCAGTGGCATGCTCAAAGTTACCGCAGCCTCGCCTGCTAGGTTTAGGCAATCCTCCTGCCTCAGCCTTCCAGGTAGCTGAAACTACAGGCACACACTGCCATGCCTGGCTAATTTTTGATTTTTTTGTAGAGACAAGTTCTTATCAAGTTGCCTGAGCTGGTCTCTAACCCACAGACTCAGGCAATCCACTCGCCTCGGCCTCCCAAAGTGCTGGGATCACAGGCTTGAGCCACCGTGTCTGGCCAGAAAAAACTCTTAAAATAAAAATGGAAAAAAACCATCTAAATATTCTAGTAAAAGATTATTTAAATCATTATCTGGTAAAAGGTACCAATTTTTCCAGTCTTACAAGAGGTTATATTTAGAATCAAGAGAAACAACTGCCTGTTTGTCACAGGCTTTCTGCCATTTGTGATTTCAAAAACTGGTTCATTGCCCGCCAGGCGCAGTGGCTCAGGCCTGTAATCCTAGCACTTTGGGAGGCTGAGGTGAGAGGATTGCCTGAGCTCACAGGTTTGAGACCAGCCCTGGCAACATGGTGAGACTTCGCCTCTACAATAAATCAAATAATTAGCCCGGTGTGGTAGTGCATGCCTGTAATTCCAGTTACTCAGATGGCTAAGGCAGAAGGATTGCCTGAGCCCAGCAGGTCAAGGCTGCGGTGGCAGTGAGTGTGCCACTGCACTCCAGCTTGGGAGACAGAGTGAGACTACAACTCAAAAAAAAAAATTGCTTCATCAAGTAAATCTATTACACAGTCACCCACTGAATTAATAAAGAAAAATTAAATTATGCCAAATGTTTCTTTCCTTTTGCTTTTGATGCCGGGCAGATTAGAGTGAAATTAGAGGCTCAGCTATAACAACTACATTACATAGTTTTTCCTGATCTATGTCTTTGTGGGCCTTCTCCCCTTCCTAATCTTATTTTCAGTTGATGCTACTTACTTATGAATTGACTAATACATATTTATTTATAAAATAGTGTATACCATTTAATTACATACACATTTACTACTAATTTATAATTTTCTCGGTCACGACCCAGAAAATTCCTATTTCTATTTTGCTCTTTTATTATACCTGTTTTTGTTGTCAGCTATGTAATTTTGGAGTTAGAAGGGAAAAATTATTCTACTCCTTTGTTCTAAGGAGATAGGATACACACAGAAAATAAATAGGTGAAGGAAACAAAGAAAAAATTAATTGTCCTTTGAACGGCAAGAGAATGCAAGCAGAACGAACTGACTATGGCTTCTTATGTATGTGGGCATCATGGTTTTATTTATTTATTTATTTTAATTGTTGTTTGAAGTCGGGGTCTCAATCTGTTGCCCAAGCTGGTGTGTGTGGCACCATCATGGCTTACCGCAGCCTCGACCTCCTGGTCTCAGGTGATCCCTCCACCTCAGACTCCTGAGTAGCAAGGACTGCAGATGCATGTGACCACACCCATCTAATTATTTGGTTTTTTTATAGAGATGAGGTCTCACCAATTGCCTAGGCTATTTTTTTTCCTTTTCCTTGTTTTGAGTTAAGGTCTCACTCTGTCACCCAGGCTGAAGTGCAGTAGCACAATCACAACTTACTATAGCCTGACCTCCTGGGTTCATGTGATCCTCCTGCCTCAGCTTCCCCGGTAGCTGGGACTACAGGCATGTACCACCACACCCAGCTAATTTTTATTTTTATTTTGTAAATTTTTGTAGAGAGAAGCTATCGCTACATTACCTAGGCTTGTCTCAAATTCCTGGGCTCAAGCAATCCTCCTACCTCAGCCTTCCAAAGTGCTGTGATTACAGACATGAGCCACCGTGCTTGGCTCATCATGGTTTTATTATCATAAATCAGGATAGTCTTAATAGACAACTGGTCCAATTGATTATTTCTAGGAGAGGGGTCTCAGGCCAACGACTTCTTATATCCGATATGAAGGATAGAAATCATAAAAGGGTACATTATCTTTTAGGGGAGAGAAATGTAAGATAGATACCTTGTTTCTCAGGTCTAACTTCATATCGTGAGACCAGAAAAGTCACACACAAAAATTAAGAGTTTTCTACCTGCCAGATGTTACCCAAATCGCTTCCCTTGCATCAGAAAATGGTCATGAAGAGACTTAGAATAGGGCCAAAACTATTGAGAAATATAAATTATTTTAACTTTTATTGGCAAAAATCAAGATTTTCAACCTGGAAAAGCCAATTAAAAAGAAAAAAAAAAGATTGACTGCACTGTGATTACAGGTAGTAGAAGTGATGCTCTCCTAAAAACCAGGCGGGAATTTTTAGTGTCTCAGCAGAAGGAGGAAGACCAACCTCCATGTCTCCAGTTTTTGGTTCGGGAAGGGAATTATGGCTATGGAGAAGAAGAAGAATTTTGTCTTTTTACCAATAAATATTTCTAGATGTAAAAAGCAGAATGTGTTTTTTTTAACTTCTGAAAAATTTAGAAACATTCCCAGATGAAAACAATGATCATTTGCCATATCACCACTCAAGAGATAACCTGGACTAATATTTTACTCTAAGTGCTGTGTGTCTCCCTAACCTTCCAGTCTTTGCTGATCTGTGTGTATCTCTCTCTGAGGATCCTTGGCCTTACAAAAAAGGCTACTTACATAAGGAATCAGAATTTCACAGTAAAGGATAGGTAAAAGTTTTATTAAAACTTGACCTTTAAAAAAAGCAAATTATCAAAAATCTATCTTATAATTGAGCAAAATTTAAGTTGTAGTTTGAAGTATGCACTAAGTCTTAGAATGAATCAAATAGACTTTGTTTTGGTGCAAGTGATTGACTAAAACATATTTGATACTTGCAGAATGATCAAAAAGACGGTTCACTGTAATTCCAGCTCTTTGGGAAGTGGCGAGAGGATTGCCTGAGACCAAGGGTTCAAGACCAGACTGGGCAATTTGACAAGACCTCATCTCTGCAATAAATCAAAAACTTAGCCAGGAGTGGTAGCCTATGTCTGTAGTTACAGTTACTTGGAAGACTGAGGTGGAAGGATAACCTGAGCCCAGCAGGTCAAGGCTGTGGTGGCCATTAAGATGCCACCATTCTCCACCTTGAGCTATAGAGTGGAACTCCAACTCAAAAAAACAAAAGATGGATCATTCAATTTTTAATCAAGTTGTTCTTTTTAAAATGCCCTTTTATGGTTTTCATCTACTTTTCTTACATTATTTAAAAAGTTTAACTTTGCCATATCTTTAATATCAATGACTTTGGCTGCTCTTGGAAAATTTAGGAGGTGGAAGGTAAATTTTTATTTCTCGGGACTAATTTTACATCCATGGAACTCGTGGAATTCTGGCATGTTTCACAAGACTTACAATTTTAGTTTGCATTGTGTCTTCATTATTCAAGTCTATATTTATGGTATTGGAAAAGACTATAGAGAATGACTAACCAAGACATAGATGCCAAAGACAAGGAAAGCCAGTGTTAAATGTCTGGGAGTTTGTCCAGTCACTTAATTGGTGAACATTTTTATGTAATAATTAATTTTCCTTCTTTACACACTATCTTATCAGTGTGTACTGGAATAAACACAAACCCTTCTGTACTTGGTGGCAGTATCAAGTAGTGGATGGAGATGTGCGTGCTTTAAGATAAGAGCTGTACAGAGGACAAATTGTTTCCCAGGTCCCTCTTAGAGGAAGTAAGAACATCGTGAATCATGGCACAGGT